CAATTTTGTATTAACACTGGAGAGATAGATGTGCAAAAGATGATGTGCAAATAGAGATAATGGGGTGCAAATGAGCAAAATAAAAAACAATATGGGGATGAGGTAGTTGGGTGGGCTAATTTCAGATGGGCTGTGTACAGGTGCAGTGATCGGTAAGCTGCTCTGACAACTGATGCTTAAAGTTAGTGAGGGAGATAAGTGTCTCCAGCTTCAGAGATTTTTGCAGTTCGTTCCAGTCATTGGCAGCAGAGAACTGGAAGGAATGGCGGTCAAAGGAGGTGTTGGCTTTGGGGATGACCAGTGAGATATACCTGCTGGAGCGCATACTACGGGTGGGTGTTGCTGTGGTGACCAATGAGCTAAGATAAGGCGGGGATTAGCCTAGGAGTGATTTATAGATGACCTGGAGCCAGTGGGTTTGGCGACGAATATGTAATGAGGGCCAGCCAACAAGAGCGTACAGGTCACAATGGTGGGTAGTATATGGGGCTTTGGTGACAAAACGGATGGCACTGTGATAGACTACATTCAATTTGCTGAGTAGAGTATTGGAGGTTATTTTGTAAATGACATCGCCGAAGTCAAGGATCGGTAGGATAGTCAGTTTTACGAGGGCATGTTTGGCAGCATGAGTGAAGGAGGCTTTGTTGCGAAATAGGAAGCCGATTCTAGATTTAACTTTGGATTGGAGATGCTTAATGTGAGTCTGGAAGGAGAGTTTACAGTCTAACCAGACACCTAGGTATTTGAAGTTGTCCACATATTCTAAGTCAGACCCACTGAGAGTAGTGATTCTAGTCAGGCGGGCGGGTGCAAGCAGCATTCGATTGAAGAGCATGCATTTAGTTTTACTAGCGTTTAAGAGCAGTTGGAGGCTATGGAAGGAGTGTTGTATGGCATTGAAGCTCGTTTGGAGGTTTGTTAACACAGTGTCCAATGAAGGGCCAGATGTATACAAAATGGTGTCGCCTGCGTAGAGGTGGATCTGAGAGTCACCAGCAGCAAGAGCGACATCATTGATATACACAGAGAATAGAGTCGGCCCGAGAATTGAACCCTGTGGCACCCCCACAGAGACTGCCAGAGGTCCAGACAACAGGCCGTCCGATTTGACACATTGAACTCTATCTGAGAAGTAGTTGGTGAACCAGGCGAGGCAGTCATTTGAGAAACCAAGGCTATTTAGTCTGCCAATAAGAATGCAGTGATTGACAGAGTCGAAAGCCTTGGCCAGGTCGATGAAGACGGCTGCACAGTACTGTCTTTTATCGATTGCGGTTATAATATCGTTTAGGACCTTGAGCGTGGCTGAGGTGCACCCATGACCAGCTCGGAAACCAGATTGCATAGCGGAGAAGGTACGGTGGGATTCGAAATGGTCGGTGATCTGTTTTGTTAACTTCGCTTTCAAAAACATTCGAAAGGCAGGGCAGGATGGATATAGGTCTGTAACAGTTTGAGTCTAGAGTGTCACCCCCTTTGAAGAGGGGGATGACCGCGGCAGCTTTCCAATCTCTGGGGATCTCAGACGATACGAAAGAGAGGTTGAACAGGCTAGTAATAGGGGTTGCGACAATTTCGGTGGCTAATTTTAGAAAGAAAGGGTCCAGATTGTCTAGCCCAGCTGATTTGTAGGGGTCCAGATTTTGCAGCTCTTTCAGAACATCAGCTGTCTGAATTTGGGTGAAGGAGAAGCGGGAGGGGAGGGGAGGGGAGGGGTGGGGGGGGGGCGGCATGGGCAAGATGCAGCGGAGGGTGCAGAGCTGGTGGCCGGGGTAGGGGTAGCCAGGTGGAAAGCATGGCCAGCCGTTGCAAAATGCTTGTTGAAATTCTCGATTATCGTAGATTTATCGGTGGTGACAGTGTTTCCTAGCCCAAAACTTTTTGGAGTTAGTGCTACAGGATGTACATTTCTGTTTGAAAAAGCTAGCCTTTGCTTTCTTAACTGATTGTGTATATTGGTTCCTGACTTCCCTTTAAAGTTTCATATCACGGGGGCTGTTCGATGCTAATACAGTACGCCACAGGATTTTTTTGTGCTGGTCAAGGGCAGTCAAATCTGGGGTGAACCAGGGGCTATATCTGTTCTTAGTTCTGAATTTTTTGAAAGGGGCATGCTTATTTAAGATGGAGAGGAAAGCACTTTTAAAGAACAACCAGGCATCCTCTACTGACGGAATGAGGTCAATTTCCATCCAGGATACCCGGGCCAGGTCAATTAGAAAGGCCTGTTCGCTAAAGTGTTTTAGGGAGCGTTTGACAGTGATGATGGGTGGTCGTTTGACCGCGGACCCATTACAGACACAGGCAATGAGGCAGTGATCGCTGAGATCCTGGTTGAAGACAGCGGAGGTTTATTTAGAGGGTAAATTAGTCAGGATGATATCCATGAGGGTGCCCATGTTTACGGATTTAGGGTTGTACCTGGTAGGTTCCTTGATAATTTGTGGGAGATTGAGGGCATCTAGTTTAGATTGTAGGACGGCTGGGGTGTTAAGCATATCCCAGTTTAGGTCACCAAGCAGTACGAACTCTGAGGATAGATTCACATATGGTGTCCAGGGCACAGCTCGGGGGCTGAGGGGGGTCTGTAGCAAGCAGCAACAGTGAGAGACTTATTTCTGGAAAGGTGGATTTTTAGAAGTAGAAGCTCAAACTGTTTAGGCACAAACCTGGATAGTATGATACAGCTCTGCAGGCTATCTCTACAGTAGATTGCAACTCCGCCCCCTTTGGCAGTTCTATCTAGACAAAAAATGTTGTAGTTGGGGATGGACATTTCTAAATTTTTGGTGGCCTTCCTAAGCCAGGATTCAGACACTGCTAGAACATCAGGGTTGGCGGAGTGTGCTAACGCAGTGAATAACTCAAACTTAGGGAGGAGGCTTCTGATGTTAACATGCAAGAAACCAAGGCTTTTACGGTTACAAAAATTAACAAATGATAGCGCCTGGGGAGTAGGAGTGATACTGGGGGCTACAGGGCCTGGGTTAACCTCTACATCACCAGAGGAACAGAGGAGGAATAGAATAAGGATACGGCTAAAGGCTTTAAGAACTGGTCTTCTAGTGCGTTGGGTACAGAGAATAAAAGGGACAGATTTCTGGGCGTTGTAAAATAGATTCAAGGCATTATGTACAGACAAGGATATGGAAGGGTATGAGTACAGTGGAGGTACACCTAAGTGTTGTGTAACAATGAAAGAGATAACATCACTGGAGGCACCGATTGAGCCGGTCTCCGCGTGTATTGGGGGTGGGACAAAAGAGCTATCTGAGGCAGGTTGAGCTGGACTGGGGGCTCTACAGTGAAATAGTACAATAAGAAATAACCGAAACTGCAATAAGCAAGGCATATTGACATGGGAGAGAGGTATTAAATCAATCACAGGTGTTATTCGAGAGAGCTAAGAAAACAGCTGGTAATGGCGACGAAAGTTTGGGCTGAGGCTAAACAGATAAACAGGATGGGGTACGGTATAAAGGAACAGTCCAGCAGGCATCAGCTGTGTAGCTGAGTGATCATAAGGTCCAGTGAACAGCAATAGGTGAGCCCGGGAGCAGTTCAGTGGCTGCTACGTCACAGGCGAGCAGGAGGCACGGCTGTTGATTGCGTGTGCTAGCGGGCCGGGGCTAGCAGTGGATCTTCGTGGTCGTCGCAATGGGAAGCCTGTTGAAACCACATCAGACGATTATGTCGGCAGACCAGTTGTGATGGATCAGCTGGGCTCCGTGTCAACACTAGGAGGTCCCGTCCTGTTGACAGAGAGGTAGATAGCCGGGAGATGGGCCTGGCTCGAGGCTAGCTCAAGGCTAACTGGTGCTTGTTTTGGGACAGTGGTGATTAGCCAACAACAACAACAGCCATTCGGTTGCAGCTAGCTAGGTGCGATGATCCGGTGTTAAGGTCCAGTGATTCCGGCAGAAAATCCGATATGCTCTGGGTCGATAGCGCGCTGTGCTGACTGCAGACTGGCCGATAATTGTCCAGGCTAGAGCTGGCTGGTAGGTAGTGCTGGCCACGGACAATGGTGAAGACCGCTAACGGTGGCTAATAGCAAGTAGCTAGTTAGCTGGCTAGCTGGCTAGTTTCAACCGGAGGTTCTGGATAAAAAGTTATAAAGAAATAATAGAATCCGTTCCACATTGGGTGAAGGCGGGTTGCAGGACAGTTTATTTAGTTAAAGGACGGAAATGTGAGATTGAGCGATATATACGAAAAAGACACACAAAAAAAGAAAAAACGGTCTATTTACACGAGGACACGACAGAACACACGACCACACTGCTACGCCATCTTGGGCTGAGAATGGGCTTCATCATGTTGGCAGACAAGACCAGTTAATGTCTAGCAATCTTAAAAATGTATTATGGTGGGGTTGATTTTTATTTCTGCTCTGTCGTCAGATTCCCAAAGCAGATATTTTGTGACTTCATCTGTCAGCTTTTTATCATTTTCTTCCTAAAATGTCTTCTGTTTGTTCGTTTTTAGTTTCCCAGCCCTCTATTCCTACAGTCTCTGATTCATGAGTCATTGAGAAATGATGTCGTTGTAGTTTTGTATATTCCTAGTGTGTTATTGTGTTTAGGTGAGAGAAATGATGTAATGATGTCATTGTAGTTCTGACAGAAGTGATGTAACTCTAGTGCTGACTCCAGGCCAGAATGTCTTGGCTCAGGACAGACATGGAGGGGTTGTGCCAAGTCTGTTAACTCTCTCTCTATCTCACACACACACACGCACACACACACACACACACACACACTGTGAAACACTAGAATTACACAATAATATTTGCTTTCAATCTTGTTTATTTAAGATAATTAACTAACTCGTATGATTAAAATAATTTGAGAAAACTACACAACTACAGTAATTATATTTTTAAAGTTACAACTAAACAATGATTTAAATCAATAAGATAACATTTTGTATGTCAGACTTGACTTCCTTCATCTGGTCTTTTCCAGGCTTTTCTCCTGTGACTTGATGTCTTCCTATTAGCATTTGTAGAGTCGGTTGATCCTCAGGATGTCAGTGGTGGACAACCCCTGTCTCTGGCCGATGGACACGTTGGGGTTGGGGATGGGGGAGATGGTGTCCATTCCATTGATGGAGAAGGCTGTTTTTCCATAGTGCATGACGGAGCTGTAGTCATAGGGAGTGTTGAGGTTGTTGGTGTTTGATTTATCAAAGTTGTAGGCACTGTTAGCGTCGATGTTACTCCAGTTGATCCTGACGTACTGGTCACGGTCGCTCCTGGTTTGTTCGTGCTGGAAACCCAGAGCGTGGAGAGTCTCGTGCTGAACGATGCCGAAGTAAACGCAGCCGTCCCTTTGGAGAGAGACCACCTGTTGGCCTCCCACTCTCCCAAGAGAGGACCAGCACCCGTCTCTGGGCTCATAGCTGATGAAGTCAACCTGATTCCGACGAGGCACGAAGCGAATGCAGGTCTTGGAAGGGAAGGCCTGGAGGGCGTTCTCAATGATCTGCTTGTCGGAGGAAGTGAAGCTACTACTCACTGTGTAAGGCACTTCAACCTTTCCATTAGGGCCTTTGCTCCAGAAGCACCCTGAACTGTAAAATAAGATTCAGGTGGTTAGTAAATTATATTGGAAAATACTAATATTTTGACATAAAAAATATACATTTGTTATCTTTACTTGAATATAATTAGTACTCTACTTCACTTGTTTAACCAACCTGAACTATATATATATATATATATATATATCAACATTAGATACATGTAAAAACAACTACAAGGTAAACTGTGTTTAATTTACAAAATGTTCAACATATTTCTCTCAATTTACTAATGTTAAGTTCTTGCAACAACTTGCCACATGTCTCTTGTTTTTAGAGCATTGTGGGTAATTCCACCTTCATTGACTTCATAATCCTATAATACAATGTTGTATGCATGTTTAAAGGACGAAAATTATATTGTATTAGTATTGTATTAGTATAGTATTAGTATTGCTTTGAGGTGTAACGGATATCGAAACCGTCAGTCAAATTGATGTTCAATGATGAGACCAACAATTCCCACCATCACCGCTGTTAATGACACTGGCTAATGGAGCATCCTGCACTGCTGCAGTTCTACCTCCATTTACTGCTAGTGGAATGAGCACTGTGCTTAACAACACCTGCTAATGTAGGTGAAAATGCCATTGTTCAAAATTAATACACGATCTCCAAAAGTAACCAATCAGAAAGATGAAGCAAATGTAACTTATGAAAACAGTTTTGGAATTGATACAAAGTGAAGTATATTATACATAAAAATACCTCATGTTGGAAATACTCAAAAGGCTGATGCAAATAATTTTAAAAGTAGAACTCGCAAAATATTGTTTTTTAGTGTGTGTGGGTGTTGTACCTAAAGCAAATCATGGCATTTCTGGTTGTTGGTGCCAGCAGGTCTCCCTCCAGCAGAAACTGACTGGAGCCGTTATTAGTGGTCAGAATTCTCTCAGTGAAGTCCACAGCCTCAGGGTTGTCTATTAGGATCTCCGGTCGACTTCCATCCTCCGTGAGAGGGTTGGCCTGAGAGATGTCCAGGAGGAGGAGGAGGAGGAGGAGGGTGAGAGAGGTGCTATGCTCCATCTTCAGTGTGTGGAGAGGAGAGACTCTGGATGGCTCCTTGGATCTGGCAGTGGAGATGCTCTAGATGGGCTTCTTGGTCCTGGTGATGCTTTGGAGAGGCTCCTTGATGTGTGATTCTGTCTGGTCAGTCCTGGCCTTTTTATATAGTCCTATACAGGTGTGTCTGCAGGAGGATTAAGGGTTGGGGTCCATGTTGTTAGTCCTAAATAAACCTCTGAAGGGAGGGCTCCACCACCAAACCCACTGTTTCTACATGGTTTTAATCCATACGGGTCCATTTACACCTGGCCATGCCTACTCAACAAACACGTCACACACACACACACACACACACACACACACACACACACACACACACACACACACATCACACACACATCACACACACACACACACACACACACATCACACACACACACGCACACACGCACACACAAACACATACACACACACACACACACACACACACACACACACACACACACACACACACACACACACACACACACAAACACACACACACACACACACACACACACACACACACATACACATACACATACACACACACACACACACACACACACACACACACACACTGTAATGACTCTACTGCAATGATGTTTTGAGGAGCGTGTCAGATTGTCACTGCAGGGGTTGAAGTAGACTGCGTCCTGAATGTCACCCTATTCCCTATATAGTAGTGTGCTAAAGTAGTGTACTATGTAGGGAATAGGGTGCCATTTGGGATGCAGTCATAGTGTCAATGGTTTTCCGATGATAAAAGATATGACTGATCCACTAGGTACCGGTTTACATCATTGGTGTGTTTGGTAGCTTATTGTCTAACAGTTGGGAATACAAGTACACATTACAATGCTGATGCATACTTAGGGCAGGCCAGGCCACTGGTCAAATATTGTCACTTTGCCATTTCCTGTTTTGGCAAATACTATAGGACAGGTAGAGTCACAAGTTAACAAGTTGTTCAGACAAACTCATCATTTAATGTTTGTCTGGAAATATTAATCGAATGTATTGGAAGAAATATGTTCGTTATAGATTGTGATAGTTGTGTGTCACGATCGTCATAATGAGCGGACCAAGGCGCAGCGTGATATACATCTCTTTAATAGAGTACTTCAAACAACAATTACAACAACAACAAAATGAAACGTGAAGTCCTCGGTCATACACAAACCTACACGGAACAAGATCCCACAAATGACAAGTGCACAAAAGGCTGCCTATGTATGGTTCCCAATCAGAGACAACAAGCAACAGCTGATTCACCTTGCCTCTGATTGGGAACCACCCCGGCCAACATAGAAAACACATGAACTAGAAACTGAACATAGAACACAAAACATAGACCCTACACACCCTGGCTCAACATATAAGAGTCCCCAGAGCCAGGGCTTTGTGCCTATATAGCTTAGGCCAGCATTAGTGGAAAACGGCTAAATAACATACACCTCCAAGCTGCTTCCTTGGGTTGAACATTGGACTCCAATATACCTTGATAATCTACTGATTTCATGATGCCTTGCACATTCAAGGCCCCCCAGTACCAGAGGCAGCAAAGCAACCCCACATCATTATGGAACCTCCCCCATGTTTGATTGTAAGGAGGGTGCTCTTTTCTTTTGAATGCTTCATTTGGTCGTTGGTAAACATAGGAAGACCCCACTGCTGAAAGAGATACAGGAAACCCTGATTAAACGTAGCAAAAACCCACCTAAACAAGCCTAAATCCTGGGAGAAATGTTCTCTTTTCCGATTGAACGAAATTAGAGGTCTTTGTCAATAAAAATATGCGCTATGTTTTACCGGAAAAATAAATAAAGCATTCAAAGAAAAGAGCACCCTCCTCACAATCAAACATGGGGGAGGTTCCATAATGATGTGGGGTTGCTTTGCTGCCTCCTGTACTGGGGGGCCTTGAACGGCAAGGCATCATGAAATCAGTAGATTATCAAGGTGTGTTGGTGTCCTATGTTCAACCCAGTGTCCAAAAACGGGGTCTCCATCGAAGGGCTTTCAGCAAGAAAATACATAACACACATAGAAAAGCAACCAGTAAATGGTTAAAAAATAAACACTGGACTGTTCTGGAACGGCTGGTGTTGAGTCCAGATCTAAATCACTTGAAAAACCTATGGCTTGATCTGAAAACAGCAGTTGGTGGAAGGCCCCCTTCAAACATAGCAGAATTAAAATTAAGATCACTTTATACGTCAATTGTACACAAGGGCTGAGCGATATGGCCAAAATATCATGACATATACAGTGAAGGTAAAAAGTATTTGATCCCCTGCTGATTTTGTACATTTGCCCACTGACAAAGAAATGATCAGTCTATAATTTTAATGGTAGGTTTATTTGAACAGTTAAAGACAGAATATCAACAAAACAAATCCAGAAAAACGCATGTAAAAAATGTTATGAATTGATTTGCATTTTAATGAGGGAAATAAGTATTTGACCCCTCTGCAAAACATGACTTAGTACTTGGTGGCAAAACCCTTGTTGGCAATCACAGAGGTCAGACGTTTCTTGTAGTTGGCCACCAGGTTTGCACACATCTCAGGAGGGATTTTGTCCCACTCCTCTTTGCAGATCTTCTCCAAGCCATTAAGGTTTCGAGGCTGACATTTGGCAACTCGAATCTTCAGCTCCCTCCACAGATTTTCTTTGGGATTAAGGTCTGGAGACTGGCTAGGCCACTCCAGGACCTTAATGTGCTTCTTCTTGAGCCACTCCTTTGTTGCCTTGGCCGTGTGTTTTGGGTCATTGTCATGCTGGAATACCTATCCACAACCCATTTTCAATGCCCTGGCTGAGGGAAGGAGGTTCTCACCCAAGATTTGGCCCCGTCCATCGTCCCTTTGATGCGGTGAAGGTGTCCTGTCGCCTTAGCAGAAAAACACCCCCAAAGCATAATGTTTCCACCTCCATGTTTGAAGGTGGGGATGGTGTTCTTGGGGTCATAGGCAGCATTCCTCCTCCTCCAAACACGGCGAGTTGAGTTGATGCCAAAGAGCTTGATTTTGGTCTCATCTGACCACAACACTTTCACCCAGTTCTCCTCTGAATCATTCAGATGTTCATTGGCAAACTTCAGACGGGCATGTATATGTGCTTTCTTGAGCAGGGGGACCTTGCGGACACTGCAGGATTTCAGTCCTTCACGGCGTAGTGTGTTACCAATTGTTTTCTTGGTGACTATGGTCCCAGCTGCCTTGAGATCATTGACAAGATCATCCCATGTAGTTCTGGGCTGATTCCTCACCGTTCTCATGATCATTGCAACTCCACAAGGTGAGATCTTGCATGGAGCCCCAGGCCGAGGGAGATTGACAGTTCTTTTGTGTTTCTTCCATTTGTGAATAATCGCACCAACTGTTGTCACCTTCTCACCAAGCTGCTTGGCGATGGTCTTGTAGCCCATTCCAGCCGTGTGTAGGTCTACAATCTTGTCCCTGACATCCTTGGAGAGCTCTTTGGTCTAGGCCATGGTGGAGAGTTTGGAATCTGATTGATTGATTGCTTCTGTGGACATGTCTTTTATACAGGTAACAAACTGAGATTAGGAGCACTCCCTTTAAGAGTGTGCTCCTAATCTCAGCTCGTTACCTGTATAAAATAAATCTTTCTGATTGAGAGGGGGTCAAATACTTATTTCCCTCATTAAAATGCAAATCAATTTATAAAAATGTTGACATGTTTTTTTCTGGATTTTTTAAAAATGATTCTGTCTCTCACTGTTCAAATAAAGCTACCATTAAAATTATAGACTGATCATTTCTTTGTCTGTGTGCAAAAATACAAAATCAGCAGGGGATCAAATACTTTTTTCCCTCACTGTATGATATTGTTCAAATTTGACTGTATGTTATGTTTTTGAATAATAAATGTAAAACATTTGCTTAATGAGTATTGCATGACCCTAGGTTGGCAACACATACAGTGCCTTCGAAAAGTATTCAGTCCCCTTGACTTTTTCCACATTTTATTACGTTACCTTATTCTAAAATTGATTACATTTTTTCCTTCATCAATCTACATACAATACCCCTTAATACCGCATAATGACAAATCAAAAACAGGTTTTTAGACATTTCTACTAATTTATTAAAATAAAAAAAATTAATATGACATTTACATAAGTATTCAGACCCTTTACTCAGTACTTTGTTGAAGCACCTTTGGCAGCGATAACAGCCTCGAGTCTTCTTGGGTATGACGCTACAAGCTTGGCCAGACCTGTATTTGGGGAGTTTCTCCCATTCTTCTCTGCAGATCCTCTTAAGCTCTGTCAGGTTGGATGGGGAGCATTGCTGCACAGCTATTTTCAGGTCTCTCCAGAGATGTTAGATTGGGTTCAAGTCCGGGCACTCGCTGGGCCACTCAAGGAAATTCAGAGTCTTGTCCCGAAGCCACTCCTGCGTTGTCTTGGCTGTGTGCTTAAGGTCGTTGTCCTGTTGGAAGGTGAACCTTCACCCCAGTCTGAGGTCCTGAGCGCTCTGGAGCAGGTTTTCATCAAGGATCTCTCTGTACATTGCTCCTTTCATCTTTCCCTCGATCTTGACTAGTCTCCCAGTCCCTGCCGCTGAAAAACATCCCCACAGCATGATGCTGCCACCACCGTGATTCACCGTATGGATGGTGCCAGGTTTCCTCCAGGCATGACACTTGGCATTCAGGCCAAAGAGTTCAATCTTGGTTTCATCAGAACAGAGAATCTTGTTTCTCATGGTCTGAGAGTCCTTTAGGTGCCTTTTGGCAAACTCCAAGTGGGCTGTCATGTGCCTTTTACTGAGGAGTGGCTTCCGTCTGGCCACTCTACCATAAAGACCTGATTGGTGAAGTGCTGCAGAGATGGTTGTCCTTCTGGAAGGTTCTCCCATCTCCAGAGAGGAACTCTAGAGCTCTGTCAGAGTGACCATCGGGTTCTTGGTTACCTCCCTGACCAAGGCCCTTTTCCCCCGATTGCTCAG